CAGGAGGTAATAGTTGGTCGTCTGCTCCACGTTCGGCTAGCGAAGGCCCAACACTCCATCGACATCATTGGGCTCTACCAGCATGCTCTCCACACGGAGGCCGACTCGAATAACCTGGCCTTACGGCATAAACTTTGGAATAAGCTTGGGCTGCTGTTGCATAACCTGCCTCGTCGCAACCTCCTGCTTCTGATGGGTGACTTTAATTGCACGCCGGAGTTTGTTCAGGGATCCATGAGCGTTGCGTACTCTGAGTCCAGTAAGTATCCGGATGCTGATGAACTGGCTGGGGTGATTGAGGCTCACGGTCTGGTTGTGCTCAATGGGTGGACAAGACGATGCAGGCAACATACCTTCGTCGGAGCCAAGCATCAGTCCATCATAGACTTTGTTCTCACTCGCAGGCATCATGCAGATGGACTTGCTCGTCAGGCTCGTGTCTTGCCCTCGATCAACTTTAGCCCGTGGAGACTTGGTGGCAGACACCTGGCAGTTATTGCCAGCATCCCGCTGCATCCTGGATGGACCGGCTCGTCCCCTAAGAGAACACAGCCTTCTACACAGTACAATAAGCTTCAGTTGGATGGTGAGGCTCGGCAGGGTGGACCCCGCATAGAGTCCTTACGGACAGCGCTTCGCGAGTATCTTGCTCGGACCCCGGACTGCGAGCCTGCATTGATCAACCGTTTTCTGTTGGATCAGGTGATTCTCCTTTTTCCCAAAAAGGAGGTGACCGCCGAGCCGAGGGCTTGGCAGACGGCATCTGTCCAAGGAGCAGTAGCTGCAATGTGGCAGGCCAGGGCGGATCTACGAAGAGTCCGCCAGCAGCATTGCACAGCGCTCAGAGCGTGCATGGAGGCTTTCAGGAAATACACCGCCTTCATCAAGGCCTACAAGCACCTCAAGCTACAGGGCAAACAGGCTCGCAAGGCTCTACTCAATCGAGAACTTGGGCTTGCAGCAGAGGCGGCGCAGCGCAATGACACTGGCCAGCTTCACCGGATCATTCGACGGCTGGCTCCCAAGACGAAACCCACAACAGTACGCATTCATGGGCCTAATGGAGAAATGCTTCGTGAGGTTGAGGAGCATCGCACCATTGTGAGGCACTTTGAGAACCTTTTTCAGTCGAATGAGTCTTCTCATGTGCCTGATGTGGAGCCCAGTTGGAATCTTCAGGTTGCTGAGCAAGACCTCTATGACGCCCTCCGCAGCACCAAGTACGGCAAGGCCGTGCCGAGCACATCAGCCCCTTCCAGTGCTGTCAAAAGCTGTGCGGA